CTCCAGCTCAACACAGACCTTACCCTCGAGCAAGACCACCTCCTCCACAGCAGCATGTTTATCAGGAAGCGCGAAGGCAGCAACCACCGCGTCATACGTTTATGATGTCAGCTGCGGAAGCTAAGACGAACGACCATGCTATTACCGGTAAGAGTTGTTCTTTTAGCTTTGTTTGTATGTAATTTTCCTTATTAGTATTGCTTGATGATATTATAGTAGGATTTGTTTATGCGTACTAGTTTAGATGTATTTTACCTCCTGTAATAAGTAAGGTTCTTGTTTCTTTCATTCTTGCTTTATCACCCTTGACCTTGGAGCTTCTCATTGTTTCTTGTCTCGTTGATTTGCGAGTACCAACTCTCGTTTCATATCTCTGTCCTTGGGTTTAATTCCGAGGACGGAATTTGTTCTAAGGGGGGTAGGATGTAACAACCGTAATTTTTGATATGTACTTAAATAAAATTTTCTAGTATTTAAAATATTAGATCCTATTTTATCAATATTTTCCTAATTTTTTGGAAATTCCTGAGCTTTCGAACTAAATAAATAGATAAATAAATAAAATATATAGTCCTGTATTTATTAGTTCTATTAAATATTAATTTATAGTTATCGTGAATATTTTTAAATAATTATTTGGTTATTGATATCATTAATAATCTTATTATTGTTGATGTAAACCTGAGCATAGTACAATAGCATATAAATATAAATATAAAGATATTTGGTTGCTAATAATTATTTAATATTATTTATTAATATAATGTTATTTTGAATATTATGTAATATATTCCATAATCTTTTCTATTCCCTTAATTTTCTCTCATTTGAATTATTTCCTAATCCCTCCCAAATCAATTTCTAATCAACTTTTAAACTCATTCCTTTTTAATTCCGAAACTTTCTCTCTCTCCATATATTTTGTCAACCTTCCCCGTATCTAAATCCTATCATTTTTTTATGCACAAAATCCTTGCTATCTCTCAAATCTCAAATTTTTCCCATAATCAAATCTTTTCTCTCTCTCAATCACAACAAATCTTATCATACCCGTACTCTCCTATCAAATATATACCTATAATATTTAACCTACAACCTACCTCACCCCTACCCTCTTTTCTCGTGTGAACCAACCTCCAAAAAAAAACCCTCTTCTTCTTCTTCCTCCTCAAGCAACGCCGACCAACACCACCCCCAGACCCGCACCCATCTCCTCCACCTTCTTCCACCACCGCCATCTCCTCCGGCCGCCTTCGAACCCGCCACCAAAGCCCAGCCGAGCTCCCCCTCGTCCCCGCTCACCTGCTCATCCGTCGGCCTCCCCTCCGCTTCCCCAACCTCGCCCACGACCACGCCACCAAGCCGCCACCAAGTCCCCGCTCGCCTTCAGCCCTGACCGCCGCCGCCTGCACCCGAACTTCTCCCTGACCTCCGCTTGAGTCCCTCTCCCTCCGCCGAGTTCGCCGCCCCACCCTCTGCCCGAACCCACCGCCGTTGTCCCGTCCAGGCAGCCGCCTTCCCCAGCGCTGCTCGACCACTTCGCCGCCCTGAGACACACCAGCCTGACCTCCTCTCTCCGGTCATCTCCCCGCCTCCAACACCATCAGCACCATCACCTCCGCCTCAGCCCCCTGAACCACCCCCTCCTCCGCTCGCCAAAGCCTCCTCCTGTTCCACCTCTCTCTGACCTCCCCTGCAGCGCCTCCAGCAGCTCCCCTCCATCTCCCCAGCTTCGCCACCGAACCCGACACCCCGAGCACCGCCGCGCCGCCTTGAACAGCCGCCAACCTCTGCAGCAGTCAGCCCCGACCACGAGCTCACCTTCGTCGCCTCGATCACCATCAGAAGGTCACTTGATTCGCCGTTTTGCTTCAGGCGCTTGTCGGCGTTAGATAATCCTCTTAGACTCGGATAACGATGTTCGTCGTCTTCTCTCTGTCTTAAGCTGTGTACGGACACCTATAGGCATTTTTAGACGTCTACATACTTCTCAATGGGCCAAAATACCCACGAGTCAAACACCTATTGTCTTTTTGGCTTTGTTAACAGCTAGCTACAGATCCAAAAGGCTAAAAGAATAGCTAGACTAACCAAATAATATATCACGGGCTGGACGGGTCGGGCATGGGCCAAATCAATGTGAGCTGGGCCTACTTTTCTGACCCCCCGAATCTGGGGCCGGACCCGGCCCAGCCCATGACCCAGTATATTATGGGTCCGAGTCAGGCCCGACACACTATGTGCTAGGCCAGGTTGTGACCCATAACGGGCTGGGCTAGGTCAGCTCGCAGGTTTACCCGACCCACGCCCAACCTTTCACCTAACCTCCATTAAGGATCATCTCTCTAACTCACTTTATTTGAAAATTAATTATTAGAGCAAAACCATAGAAAAAACTTGACTTAAAAGTGACTTTAGATCGTTACTTGCAATGAAAAACCCTTTAAATGTTTTCTACATATAAATTAAAAAGTAAAGACAATATCTATAGAATGACCATATTTTAAAAGCAGTTTCAATGGAAAACCCTAAGGCTGTGTTTGGCAAGGGGTTAAATGAAGGGTTAAGAGGGTTTATCCCTTCATTAACCTGCCAAACAGAAAAAAAGACCCACGGGTTAACTAACCCTCACGTGAGCCCAAAATTTCATTTATTCCGTGGATTGAAGGGTTAACAATTCCTCGTGGATAGGCAGAACAAGACTTGTTCCGCCTTCTCACGCGAGGGTAGGCGGGGAATTTATTTCATCTGGATCTCGGCAGCGGAATGGGGAACTAGGCAGCGGAATTTTGACAGCACCCCCTCTCTTTCCTCACCCTCACAAAATTCATCGAGCCACTCCCGTTCAGGTTGCCCCCTTCTCCTTCCTCGAGGTCTCCGGCCGATCCAATGGATTGATCCGAAGAAGAGCTCTTGCCTGATTGACATATGATCCTTCTCCAAATATAACTGTCACGGTGATGTAGCATCGCGCTCTACATTCTCATGGTGATGTCTCTGGGGATCCAGGGCTGGGGAGAGCTCCGACGAGGCGACGGCCGGCTCCGGGGACCTCGGTGAGGTTCAGGCCGATGGATCTAATGAGGAGGTTGGAGGAGAACGGGAGGAGGCTGGATCGGCTGAGATCCGAGGCGAGAGTTAGGGTTCGGCCGCCGAGATTAGCTGTTGTGAGTTTTCGTGTTTCTGTTCTTGAGATTTTTCTTGAATTTGTTGATGAGAATGTGTGTGACGATTATTCATTGCTGTTGTTCGAACTGAGATGCTATAGCTAACTTCAAGATATTGTGCACTAGTATTAGCTAACTTTTGATCTTGAAGATACTGTGAATGTTGTTCAATTTTGGTGTGTTCATTAGTAGAATTTTTGAATTCTGAGATTCTTTGTTGAATAATTATTTTCTTTAATAGAATTTATAATTTTGCAAGCTATGTGAACAGTGCAGGATCCTGTTAGATAAGTTTTGGTGAAGTTTCTGTAGGCTAAAAAAGCTATGAGAACACATGTTGTTCAGAGTGGAATACAGCAATGGAGTAGCTTACAGGATGGTCAAGAAGGGAAATGATCTGTAAGCTTCTTGTGGGAGAGATTTTTGGCAGTTGATGTAGGCTAAAAGGACCAGATGCTCTGACAAAATTCACGATTGTCATACACAATGCAATCGAGGGTCTGGACCAGATTCTTGAGCTTCTGCCTGATCATGCATGTCCGGTGAATGATGGACTCTACAAAGCTTTCAATATCTTTTTGAAAGTAACAACTTCTTGAAAACTTTTGTCGTCATTTGACTAGACTATCAAAATTTACCCTGGAAAAATATGAGGAAAAGCTAACCACATATTTCACTTTCAGGTTCATCCGAACATAAAAGAATCAGAGAGATATCGGCTGTGCAAGACCGTCAACTATCAAAAACTATCACAAGAAGCATTCAGCCACGCTGCTCAGAACGAACGATTGCCTATTCAAATGGCAGTACAAGTTCTGTACTTCGAGCAGATCAGGCTTCGAAATGCAATGAACGGAAACCAAGATCAGCTCTTCTTCGGATCAATCCATGGCCAGTATCCTCAAAGATCAGGGAACGGATCAATCTCACCGCGTGATAACTATGCTTCAGTCAGAAGAGAGAACGGAGAGTTGAAGCTTGAGGTTGAAAGAATTGAGGATGAGGCTCACAAATTTGGAGAAGGATCATGTACAATCAAGCAAGAGCTTGTAAAAAGCAAATCCTGCAAATAAACTGCTGAAGTCGTTCACGAAGAAGCTCAGCAAGTTGAATTCATTTTTTCGGATGAGAGATGTGAAGCCAATAAATCTGAAGGCTATTTTAGATGCTCGATTTCTGTTTTAGAGAAGGCGACGACACTCTATTTCTTGAGAAATGTAGATTTTGTGCATGTCGTCGTTTCTTCTGTGTGTAAAAATTTGTGATTGTGTTGATTTGATCAATGTTTTGTGATGAGATTGGCTCACATATTTATCTGTCTTGTGTTGTTTTGGAATCTGATTCATGAGAAAGTATTTGTATATAAACCAAAAGTGTTTGTGCGATTTTTTAAATTTTTAGAAAGGGCGAAAGTGGTATTTTTAAAAAGAATAATGAGATTAATCTCCTTAGCCGTTCTTCATTTGCCAAACACAAAAGACTTAACACTTTGTCTTAATTATCAAATCCAAACGGAATAAGAATATTTTTAACCCTTCACGATGGATTAACTAAGTTAACCCTTCTCCTTAATCTCTCTTCCTTAACCCTTTGCCAAACACAGCCTAAGAAAATTTATGGCAGTTGAAATTTACACAAATCTTCATGCGCTTGTATGTTTTTTGCTGTGCTAACATTCTTTGAGAAAACACGTCTTTCTTAGTTGGGGAATGCTATTTTGACAGCACCGCCATCTTTTTAATTGCGTCCCCTTTTACCAGATTCTATAAATATCTTTACTTATATTCCTCTCTTTCATCTTCAACGCTAGAAAACTGTGTCTTCCCTTCTACAAAATAAGGACCCACTGACATTTCTCCGAGCTGCCATAGCAAAACCATGGGTATATGTGCGTCGGTGCTGAGGCAGAAAAAGGCGGCAGAGTTTAAACTCTGCACGGATTTGGCCGCCGTGGAGTACCAAAAGGGGAATATGGCCGTGCAATTGGGACTTTACGACGAGGCCATCGTTCGTTATCGAAACATGGAGAGTCTTTTGCTCAAGGCCTATTCTTGTACAACTACGCTTCCCTTTCTCTCCTGGTATTGTAAATGTTTGAGTCTATTCCTTTTTTCTATTTTAGTACCTTTTTATGTTGCTTGTTGTTAATTGTAGGAGTGAGCAGAATCAAGTGAAGGCTCTTCAGGACCAGATAGTGATAGTATTGGCAAGTGTCTCGGAGATGTTGCAGTTGTTATATCGGCGACCAGCAGGAGGCGTGGCACCAATGAAGGTATGGATAGATTATTTTGGTCAAAAAATTTTGTACGTTAGTTAGAATAGAAAATTATAAACCTCAACCCTCACCACAACTTCGAAGTTTTGGTGCAGTGGCAGGGTTTTTAACATGGTATCACATCAACCCAGGGTACGTAGAATTTTACTGGGCACAAATTTAATACGGATTTTAAAAAATTCATTACTGCTACATGGATTCGTATTTCAGCCTATAAAAAGGACACGCTCAACCTGTTGGGAGCACGTTAGCGTAGAAAATTATAAACCTGTCTTCACCAAATCAACTTGTTAATTTGAAGTTCCTACTCGATTGTTGATGTTTATCTTTTGTTTTTATCAGTTGCCACCAAACATTAATATCAACCACAACGGAGGAGGAGGCGGAGGAGGTGGTGGCGGGGGTAATGGAGGAGATGGTAGCATACAAATGGTTTATATGCACAACTCCTATAACTTCTACGTGAACTGAGACAATATCTAATCCTCTTGATAGAAGAGGATGAACATTAAATTCTTCGTTTTCAGGTTGTATTTTGTGTCCTATTATATATTTGTGTGTACTTTGGCTTGCCATCTTGATGGGAATAAATGGAAGTTTTGGCTTTTATTTTCTTTCTTTTATATAGTTTATCAATTGTATGTCTTTTATATGGTAAACTGTCATATTGTTCTATTTACCTCAATGTTTTCTTTTTGCCTTTGTGCACGTGCGTTTTTGAAAATATTTGATGCTTCTCCTCGCTGCTCTCTATTTACTCCAATTTGTATGATATATGTTAGGCTAAGCCTAGAGAACATGACTTGTGCGTTTGTAAGATTTACATAACTTAATTTGGTTCACTTTTAAGGATATGAATCCGGCCAGATGAGGGAGAAAAATTACTGTTGCAGATCGCCGATGATAAAGAATAAAAGTAAAAACTACATATAAATGAACTTAAAGACACTGAGATTTTAAAGTTAAGGGAAAAATGCTTCCAGCCCTCAAAACCAAAGAAAACATGCTCCCCCAAAGACTTTTTCAACGGGCTCTTTGCCCCCAAAAACTCGCGCGGTTTTCTTCTAGTTCCCAAATCCCTTTGTTTCCTTTTTTTATTTGTGTGGAGGAGAGAGCTGGACCCCGCCACCTCCCCCCATCTGGACCCTGCCAAGAGACCGCTCACGTCGGTTCCCCGCCACGGTCCCGTCTCCCACCGCCTCGGCACCATCCCAGTGGGCGAGGCCAGTGTGTTCATCGCGGCCTCAGCCGTCCACAGATCCGACGCGATCGAGGCGTGCTGGTTTGTGATCGAACGAGGTGAAGGCGTCGGTGTCGATCTGGAAGAATGAGGTTTACGAGAACGGGGAGTTTTGGAAGGAGAACAGAGAGTTCTTTTTGGGATTTTCTTAGTTTATTTATTTAGGTCCTAATAAGTATCATAAGTGAGGAGGGCTCTACTAAGATCAATTTTCCCTTTTAATTAAGTTCTTCCTAGTAAATCATGCCTTCAATTGTTTATTTGTTTATCGGTGTATACTGCAATCATTTTGGATCAATTATTTATTTTTGAGCATGAACTATGGACGAATGGTATAACGTACAAGGAAGTTCATTATCCAGCTTTTCTATATTCATAGTATTTCCCTTGCTCGTGGTGGATGTGTGGCCATGCTAAATGGTAATAGGCAAAGCAGAAGTACTTTTCTGTGTTCAAACTTCATTGACAAAAGTCTCTAATCTTAAAGTGTTAAATGAAAAAAGTCTCCAATCTTACGAATTTGGGTTCACGGAGCATTTTCCCTAATTTTAATAAAATTTTCAAAAGCCAAACGATTTACGCGTTGGTTGTTAAGGTTATGGGTTGCTTGTTAAGGTTACGCGTTTATTGTTAAGGTTATACGCGTCCGTTGTTAAGGTTACGGGTTACTTGTTAAGGCTATATGTGTTGGTTGTTAAGGTTACGGGTTGCTTGTTAAGGTTACGGTTAACCTTAACAAGCAACCCGTAACCTTAACAAGCAACCGATAACCTTTACAATCAATGCGTATAACCTTAACAACCAACGCGTATAACATTAACAACCTACGCGTAAACTTTACAAGCAACCCGTAACCTTAACAAGCAATCTGTAACCTTAACAATGAACACGTATAACCTTAACAATCGGCACGTATAACCTTAGCAACCAATGCGTAACCTTAAGAAGCAACCCGTAACCTTAAGAAGCAACACGTAACATTAACAATCAACGCGTATAACCTTAACAACCAATGCGTAACCCTAACAACCAATGTGTAACCTTAACAACCAACATGTAAATCGCTTGGCTTTTGAAAATTTCATTAACAAGCAACGCGTAACCTTAACAAACAACCCGTAACCTTAACAAGCAACCCGTAACCTTAACAATCAACGCATAACTTTAACAAGGAACCCGTAATCTTAACAACCAACACGTAAATCGTTTAGTTTTTGAAAATTTCATTAAAATTAGGGGGAAATGCTTCAAGCGAATAATATCAGCTCTAAGTTCGTTAATTTTCAAGTAAACCCATAGGAAAGCAAACACAAACTTTTTTTTCCTAGTAAAATCATGCCTTCTATTGCTTATTTGTTTATCGGTGTATACTGCAATCATTTTGGATCAATTATTTATTTTTGAGCATGAACTATGGACGAATGGTATAATGTACAAGGAAGTTCATTATCCAGCTTTTCTATATTCGAAGGTTGCCAGGATCGTCGGTGAAGGAACGATCAACGCGCTGGATCAATCGGCAGCGAAGGTTGGTTTTGGGGGCGGCGACAATGGCGGAGGAGGCGAGGATGGTAGGAGGAGGGTGGCGGCGGCGGTGTTGTGCGCAGCGAAAATTTCGGCAGCACATCCGGTGCGCAAGGTGCACAACAAGAGATTAGATCACAATGAAATTCTCGTTTCTCAAAGGAAACAAGAACCAAAAGCCAGATATCTCATCAAAGTGAGATATCAGCTCTTCCTCTCGTCAGCTCTAGGACTGCGTGTCGAGGGATCCTACAAGCTATTACAAATCACGGCAAGAACACAAATTTTACGTGGTTCGGCAAATAGCCTACGTCCACGAGGCCAGGAGGGGGAGATCTACTAATAGAGGGAGAGATACAATTGGGGTTTACAATCTCACAAATAAAACCCTCTCACAAACTCTCAGATCCCTCACACAAATATTCTCTCAAAGGGGATACACAAGGAAAAACAACAAAGCTTCTTGCTGATGATGCAGCCGGGTTTGGATTAGTTGATGGGGGTGAGATCGATTTGGTGAGCGACATCGACATTTGGGGTGAGTGTTTACACTCCCATTTGGGTCTTAGCAAGTGAGGCATTTGGTGTAGTCGGTGTAGGCTCAGTTTGATTGGTGAGTAGACACTATTTGGTTTGGATTGAGTGTTCGCACTCCCATTTGGGTCTTGACCTGTTGTGGATGGAGTCCGTTGTCATGAGTCCGTTGCCATGGCGTACTGGATGCAACAAGTGAGGCATTTGATGTGGTCAGTGTCGGCTCAGTTTTGGGAAAACTTCGCCGATGTGGAGAATTGTGAATCACGTGAAAAGGGACCACAAGTTGGGCCATGAGTTTAGCAAGCTACCACGTGATGTCAGGTGAATTGCCACAAGCTGAAGACGCGTTTTGTTTCAATGCGGGTTCGTTTCCGCATGCGTGATGGCCCACCCAAAATGAAAGCTAAGCTTTATAAATAAGCTGGTGTTTTTCATCCCTAGGTTTCGGTGAAAAAAGGAGGCAGAGGTGAGAAAAGATTGCAGGCGGCTGATTTGGGAGCGTGTGCAAGCATTTGTTTATTTTCGGGTGGGGATTCTTTTCGGCGTGCAGTACAGAGCGCAAGAAGCTTTGTTGTTTTTACCTGACATCACGTGGTAGCTTGCTAAACTCATGGCCCAACTTGAGGTCCCTTTTCACGTGATTCACAATTCTCCACCTCAGCGAAGTTTTCCCAAAACTGAGCCGACACTGACCACATCAAATGCCTCACTTGTTGCATCCAGTACGCCATGGCAACGGACTCATGACAACGGACTCCATCCACAACCGGTCAAGACCCAAATGGGAGTGTGAACACTCAATCCAAACCAAATAGTGTCTACTCACCAATCAAACTGAGCCTACACCGACTACACCAAATGCCTCACTTGCTAAGACCCAAATGGGAGTGTAAACACTCACCCCAAATGTCGATGTCGCTCACCAAATCGATCTCACCCCCATCAACTAATCCAAACCCGGCTACATCATAAAGACTGCCTACGTATCCTCTTGCCTAAGGAATCAAGTCAAACGTAGTTCACTCAAATGGCCGCTAATGACCTCAATCCAATAGAAGAGTTTGTAACACTTCTCCAACATCACGATCAAGTCTGCTGCTGATAGCACCTCCAATGGCCCTAAACTGAAACAATCCAAACACCTCCACCTGAGATGAACCAACGGCCATGTCTAGACTACATCTATCAGCTACACTCGAATCAATTAACCTATCATCTGCATCCAAATCAACATGATTCCTAATCTGTGTCACATCAGCTGGAATCCCAAATGATACAGTATGGTCTGAAGTTTCCACCCAACGTGGAGTAGCATCACTCTCCACCCGCTGCAATGTCCCAAAGATCTGATCACCACTCTCCACCTGCCGAGAGTCAAACGTGACATATCTGCTCAGAACAAAGTCAGAAGCCAATACCTGATAATCAAACACGCCTCTGAATTCCAAATGTGCTATCGGATCAAATCTCACATCCACGATGTGACCAAGTGTTGGGTAGCTAAACATCCGACGCAACCCAAAATCTGAAGCAGCTCCACCAGATTCAAAATCTCTACATGCAGCAGTCAACAACCTATACATAAGATGGCCCAAACATGTCGTAGCCTGCACACCAATGCCAATGCTCGACATCAAATGCTGATCCTCCTCCAGAAAGGAACAGCTCCCCAAATCTGTCATCTCATCACGTCGCCTCAAAGTTTCCACATCAATGAAGTGTCTCCTATTGCTGTGAGCTCGACACAAATGCAGATATAGGTCCCTCTTGTACCTTCCTCTAACATCAGACTGAAGTAGTTTCACCTTTCTGCCAATACACTTCCTCAATTTGTTGTGGGCTTCTAGGACTTCACACCAACGGGATTTGGTTGCAACCCACCAATGCCTAGAGCAATCCCCAACTGCGGAAACCACATACCTATTACCTCCCAACAATGCTCCCTTGGAAGGCCCCCGAATGCCTAAATGAACACCCCTCAGAAGACCCCTCGAATGATGGATAGAAGTGCCTAACTCCACATTGGTTTTCTTGCTCATACTAATGGGTTCACAGGACTTCAAACTGCAGGTCATAGCACTCCTCAACAACCTATGCACGGCATTACCAATCAAATAACCTAGCATCAAACAACGCCACAATCTAGCCGAATCTGATGAAGTCGTCATCTCCCTATCAATCGCCGTGCTTCCGAGCAAATAATACAAATTGCTCCTTCTGACGCCCTTCATCATAATCATGGACCCAAATGTGACAAACGTGCAACCTCCAAGGTCACTTTATAGCCAGATGCCACCAAAGCTCCTAGTGAAATGATGTTCTTCGACAACTGCGGAACAAACCTCACTTCATCCAACTCCTGAATCACTCCGTCATACATCCGAATACGAACGGTACCAATACCACCAATAGAGCATGCATGTCCATTACCCATGAGCACAACATCCTCTCTTTCCAACTTTTGAAAGCTGGAGAACCAATCCCTCCTAGGGCAAACGTGGTATGAAGCACCCGAATCCAACATCCACTCTGTACAGTTGGAAACACAAATTGACGGTAGTGCAGACAACGAATAGCCCGAAGAATCCGAATCTAAATTATTGCCACTAGTCTTGACAACATTCACCTCTGAAGCTTGTACAGCTTTCCCCTTATTCTTTTCGGCTCGATCTAACTTTGGGCATTCGGCTTTCCAATGTCCATCCTCTTTACAAAAGGCACACTGATTCCTACGAATCCCACGATGTGCACCTCTAGACTGCGACCTCTTGCTTCGGTTTGAACCACGGCCATGAACTACTAATGCATCTCCTGATGCCTTCTCGGAGAACTCATCCACACTCTTCCTCAACTCATAATTCACTAACGCTGAGGTCACCTCCTTGTAACTAACAGTAGTTCTTCCATTAATCATAGTTAGGACAAAAGTACCATAATCATCCTCGGGCAACGAACACAAAAGTAGCATCGCCTTGTCTTCATCCTCAACCATGATATCTACATTGGCCACATTTGAAAGTAGCTTTGTGAAGTTGTTAACATGCTCCCTAATGGAAACTCCCCTCTTCATCTTGAACTGGTAAAACCTCTTCTTCAAGTGAAGCCGATTCTCAATGCTCTTAGTAAGATACTTTTCATTGAGTGTTTCCCACATCTTCTTCGCCGACGTCTCGTTCATCACATCATAAATAAGATCCGGCGTCAAGCATGACCGAATAACTCCACACACCCTACTATTCATCTTCTTCCAAACCTTAGCTTCCATCTCGGCAGGTTTCTCTTGTAACTCAAGAGTCTCCTCCAAATTCTGAGCGTCCAAGGCGTCCATCACCTGACACCTCCACAATCCGAAGTTAATCTTGCTGTCAAACTTCGAAACATCAATCTTCATGTTATTGATGCTCAAACTATGTATCGTCTTCGTAAGAGACGATCCCGATGTTCTTGTTTCACCCATGTTGTCGATCTAATATTCAAATAGGAATCCTTTAGCGAATCCTTCAAACAAGCTCCCAAGTCCAACCCGGAGCTCTGATACCACTTGTTGTGCGCAGCGAAAATTTCGGCAGCACCTCCGGTGCGCAAGGTGCACAACAAGAGATTAGATCACAATGAAATTCTCGTTTCTCAAAGGAAACAAGAACCAAAAGCCAGATATCTCATCAAAGTGAGATATCAGCTCTTCCTCTCGTCAGCTCTAGGACTGCTTGTCGAGTGATCCTACAAGCTATTACAAATCACGGCAAGAACACAAATTTTACGTGGTTCGGCAAATAGCCTATGTCCACGGGGCAAGGAGGGGGAGATCTACTAATAGAGGGAGAGATACAATTGGGGTTTACAATCTCACAAATAAAACCCTCTCACAAACTCTCAGATCCCTCACACAAATATTCTCTCAAAGGGGATACACAAGGAAAAACAACAAAGCTTCTTGCGCTCTGTACTGCACGCCGAAAAGAATCCCCACCCGAAAATAAACAAATGCTTGCACACGCTCCCAGATCAGCCGCCTGCAATCTTTTCTCACCTCTGCCTCCTTTTTTCACCGAAACCTAGGGATGAAAAACACCAGCTTATTTATAAAGCTTAGCTTTCATTTCGGGTGGGCCATCACGCATGCGGTAACGAACCCGCATTGAAACAAAACGCGTCTTCAGCTTGTGGCAATTCACCTAACATCACGTGGTAGCTTGCTAAACTCATGGCCCAACTTGTGGTCCCGTTTCACGTGATTCACAGGCGGCGGGTGGAGAGGTAGGGGAAGGAGGAGGGAGAGCAGAGGGATTGCATGGTTAGAGAGAGAGAGAATGTGTATTATAATCTTTACTTGTGTAAAATTTTTGGGCTTTGTGTTTTGGGGGCTCAGTGAATAATTAGTTTACTTTTGGGGGCAAGAGCCCGTTGAAAAAGTCTTGGGGGGAGGGGGGAGGAGGGGGAGCACGTTTCTTTTGGTTTTGAGGGCTGAAAGCATTTTATCCTAAAGTTAAATACATATAGTTGTTTGGATTTACAGGTGCAGAAAAAAAAATACCTGGGTTTCAAAATAAAGCAACTTTAGATTTTAAAGGACAACTGCGTTAAATATTAAGGGGGTTATCTCAAAATTAGCTAATTTATTTGATGGTTCTTTGACATTTTTAAAATTAAGAGACGTTCAATCGGCCAAACTTAAGGGTATTTTGTGAAATTTACTCGCCATTTCTTTACTTTTTTTGGTTCCGCTAAGGCAAAGAGTGAGGCAAGACTCCTTAGATTAAAAAAAAGGAAAGAAAATGAAGTATAGGATGCGATACCTCGTTCAAAAAAAATCAAGTCCAGAGCTATATAAAAGCAATAGAGAAAAAGAAATTAGGCACATAAATGAAGGAGAGAGAACTACGAGAGTCGAGTATTTCAAAACATGAAAATGTCAAGCACCAAACAAGTCATCCGCAAAGAATTCAAGGTGGACCGTATGTAAACAATATATGAAGATATTTGGGGTAAAAATTAGGGTTTTTTTCCTCTCATGGAGAGGTCCCTCTTTTATATATCAATGCACTCTTACAAATAGATCCTTACAACATTAACTAATTAACTTAACATATCTAAATAATTCAACACTCCCCCTCAAGATGGGCGATAGATATCAATCATCCCCATCTTGTTACAAAAGATATCATACTCTCTAGAACCTAATCCTTTTGTTAAACAATCAACTAACTGCTCTTCTGATTTCACATAGCTGAATGTCAGAACTCCTCTATTCAGTTGCTCTTTGATAAAGAACCGATCAATCTCTACATGTTTGGTACAATCATGCTGAACTGGATTGTTTGCAATATTAATTGTCGATTTGTTGTCAGACCAAAGTTGTAAGGAGTCTCCTCTAAACAAGTGCAGCTCAGATAACATGTTATTGACCCATATCCACTCGCACAGACTAACTGTCGTAGCCCTGTACTCGGCCTTAGCTGTAGACTTATCCAACACATCTTGCTTCTTTCTACGTCAAGATACGAGATTGCCTCCAACAAATACACAGTAGCCTGTAGTGGACCTACGATCATCCATACAACCCGCCCAATCAGCATCATAATAGCCTTTAATTCTCAGATGTCCAGAACTCCTGAACCATAACCCCTTTCCTGGGCTTCCTTTAATATACCTAAGAATTCTGCGAACTGCCTCCATATGCTGCTCTCTAGGATCATGCATATATCTACTCACCACACTCACTGCATGAGTAATATCAGGTCTCATATGACATAGATATATAAGTCGACCAACTAATCTTTGATATTGCTCTTTACTCACCGGGTCACCACCCTCGGCACACATCTTATGATTCTGCTTGATAGGAGTAGTTGCAACTTTGCACCCCAACATCCCAGTCTCTAAGAGAAGATCTAGAGCAAATTTTCGTTGAGAAAACACTATACCCTTTCGCGACCTTGCAATTTTAATTCCGAGGAAGTACTTCAACTGCCGCAGATCTTTAACTTCAAATTCCTCTTCTAATTTCTTCTTCAACCATAGGATTTCCTCAGCATCATCTCTAGTGATTACAATATCATCAACATAGACCGCTAGGATAGTGATACGCATTTTAGAGTGCCTGTAAAACACTGTATGATCCCCATTGCACTGCTTGTACCCCATACTACAGACTGCCAACCTGAATCTGTCAAACCATTCCCTCAGAGACTGTTTTAACCCATACAAAGACTTCTTCAACTTGCACACCTTCCCAGCTACTTGAGAAATAGCGAAGCCTGGTGGAATCTCCATTACACCTCCCCCTGGAGATCTCCATGCAAAAAGGCATTCTTGACATCTAGTTGATGTAGTGGCCAATTGAAGTTGGCAGCACATGACACCAACACTCTAACAGTGCTCATCTTTGCTACTAGAGAAAATGTCTTGTCATAATCGATGCCATATGTTTGGCTGTAGCCTTTAGCAACCAATCTAGCCTTGTATCTGTTGATCTTGCCCTCTGGAGTTTACTTAACTATATACACCCGCTTACATCCAACAGCATGCTTCCCAGCTGGCAAAGGTACCAGTTCACATGTGTCATTCTTCTTCAAGGCCTAAAGTTCCTATTGAATGGCGCTCAACCACCTAGGATATTGCTTAGCTACCTACCAGTTGTTAGGTACATGCATTGAATGCAATAATGCAATGAATGACTTATATGCAGGTGGAATGGATGCATATGAAATGTAATTCGCAATGTCAGTATCCCAACTACCAAACTTAGCTGGAGGTTTTCTAGCATTGACTCTAGAGGTTCTACGGGGAAAGACAAGAGTATTAGAAGTATCATTGAAGGAATTGTTACTTTTCGACTCAGGTGTAGAAGGTAAGGAAGGCATTGGAGAGGAGGAACTTGGGACATCAACATTTATGGGTACTGGCACAGGCACAGGAGGCGGCTCATGCTGCTGTTTCTATCTCCTCGTGTATACTCTCAGCTCTCCCTAACCTTGACTGCCAACTCCTGAGTCGCCACCACTACTCAGCAATGTACCATCACTACTCGATGACTCAAGAGGACATGGAATCATCCCAACCATGATGTCATTCTCATTCTCATTCTCCCCCTCTCTACTAGCATCAGTAGAGCCATCTCCAAACAAGGAACTCAACTTCGTCTTCTCCCCATAAAAATGTTCAAACTTCCAAAAAGTCACATGCATACTGACAAACAACCTTCTTTCAGTGGGACACCAACACTTGTACCCTTTTTGACTTGATGAGTAGCCAACAAAGATACATTTAACTGCTTGCGGATCCAGTTTACTCACCATCAATCTGTGATCTCTCACATAACATGTGCATCCAAACACTCTTGGTGGAACAACAAAAACATTCGAGCCCAAGAGCATCTCACATGGTGTCTTCATCCCTAATACTCTTGATGACATCCTGTTGATCAAATAACCTGTTGTCATAACAGCCTCACTCCATAAAAACTTAGGCACATTCATTGTCAACATCAATGAGTGTGCCACTTCCAATAGATGCTTGTTCTTGTGTTTAGCCACCCCATTCTGAGCAGGGGTGTCTGGATAGGGGGTTTGATGAAAAATTCCCTGACTAGAGATAAAAGCCGCAAACTCCTTGTTGACATACTCAGTCTCATATCTGTTCGAAGAATCTTCACCTGCACTCCAAACTGTGTCTTCACATAAGCCGAGAAATCTTGAAAATATTGGTAAATCTCAGATTTCTGCTTCATCATGTATATCCAGGTCATACGTGAATAATAATCAATTTAAGTAACAAACCATCTAAAACCACTAATAGAGGTAGTAGGACATGGTCCCCAAACATCAGAATGGACAAGTGCAAATGGTTCAAAACTTCGAAGACCAATCATTTTATAAGTAGAACGAGTATGTTTTCCAAGTTCATAAGAATTACAAAATAACTATTTTCTATCCACTTTCTTCATAATCTCAGGTTCTAACATATTCAAACTATCAAAAGATAAATGCCCTAATCGGCAATGTTGAAGCATTGCTTCTGCCTCTGCCCCTTCGCTAACAACAGCAGCAATCATTACAGTCTCCCTGTCCAAGTACCAAAGGCCATCATGCCAGATGCTAGTCCTAATCCTCCTTCTCCTGGAAGACACACATATCCGGATCAAATAACACAATGCAATTTAATTGATCAATGAGAGAGCTAAAAGAGAGTCACTACAACAAAATACAACATTGCCGACGAAACAAAAATGTCGGTAAAAGTTTAAAAAATGTCGGGAAAAATCTTTCCTGACGCAAAATGCAACGTCGCTAACGCGTCGCCAAAAGTGCGTCAAGGAAAGTATTTGGCGACGCAAATACACTGCGTCGTCAAAAGTACACTTTTGGTGATACGTCATGCGTCGGGAAAAATATATCTTTTAGCGACGTATAATATTTTGCGTCGGCAAAAGTATACCTTTGGTGACGCATGCAGCGTCGGCAAAACCTATGCGTCGGCAAAAGTATAGCTTTTAGCGACGCAAAATTGTTCGTCGCTAAAAACTATATTTTTGGCGACGTAAGTTAGCGTCGGCAAAAGTGCAGCTTTTAGCGACGTAGAGTGAAGCGTCGCTAAAAGCTATACTTTTGCCGACGCAAGATAGCGTCGGCAAAAGTATAATTTTTGGCAACGTATAATTATGCATTGGTAAAAAATATAATTTTATCAATACTAATTTGCATCGCCAAAAGTAATATCTTTTCTGTCAACTACAAGCCTACACTGAACCTAAGCATCTACAAAAAATTTGCTCCCATTCACATCAATGAAGAAACCAAACATCAAATTATACTCCAAACAAGTTGCATATTATAATAAACAAAGAATTTGCTCCCATTGCAAAATAATTACATTCATTTCCATTTCCAAGTCAACACTCAAAGATTGCAAAATAATTACATTCATTTCCATTTCCAAGTCAACACTCAAAGGCCTGTTTAAATATTCCAGTTTTCCATATTCAGTGTTTTCCATTTCCCATTTCCAAGTCAACACTCAAAGGCCTGTTTAAATATTCCAGTTTTCCATATTCAGTGTTTTCCATTTCTGAGTATGACACATTATAAGATTTACAGGAAACTAAAGTAAGTTGAAAAAAAAGAAAACTTGAAGTAAAAGAACGGCACGATCAATGAACCTCTTCACAGATGAAGGTATATTCTCTGGTAGAGTTTTTACGACTCTGTCTAACTCCTGCATTTGTTGCTTTGCAGTCACTCTATCCGGACCACAATACATATCCATAACATCTTTCATGTGTGGTAGCCTTTCCATTAGTTCTTTGATTATTTCCTGTTAGAGAAAATGCAACGTCAGATTATCAGCTACATATATATAGCTCAAACAAATACTACTATATATTTTACTAGCAAAAAACCCCTGCGTAACGCGGGGAGAATGGAGAATGCATACTCGTATCTTTTATGATATTTGTATCATAATTTACTTATACATTTATTACCTGCATAACCAAATTTTCTTGGCCTTCAGGGTTCTCTTCATAGATGAGGAATAGTTCAAGTAAAATAATTCCGTACGCATATACGTCTTTCTCTTATTGCTAACTTTCCTATACATATAGTATTCAAGCATAGGGTGCATGTAAACAATCTTACAAGATAATCTTAAGACCAACAAATATCATACTCACATATACTCAATTATGAAATCTCACCTTCAATATAAATGAGAGATTAAATGATGTTCTAAGACTGTCAATCTATTTGTTCGTAATAGCACATAATAAGACATCATTCAGTTATTCTATATCATAAATTGAGGGCATTGAGTCATACATACATATGTAATTGGTGAATGAATCTTCCATTTGACATGTAATAAACAAAAAAATGAAAATTAATTACTTTTATAAAGACAATAATTGGCACTCTGAGATGCACACAAGGAACAAAAAGAATGACACAGTTAATGTAATCAACCAAATAAAATCGACCAAAAAGCAAAAACCCTCAAAAGAGATCGTATTCACAGTTTTAACATATCAATGCCTATACAATCAAATTAAGCAAAAGAATGAAATATTTCATATGAAACCGCAAAAGAATGAATTCAGAAATAAAATCATGTAGATTTCCTCAAATACAAATGACCAAGAAATTTCAAGCAGTAGCAAAGCAAGTCTAGAACACTCGAAGCTGAGAGAAAACCTACTTGAATTGTACCTAGTTTTGAGGAAATTCTAAATATGATACTTACCAGTTATTATTTCCGGATTGTATTCAATTTAAATATGACATAGATTGAGGATCCACTGGTCTTTACTTGGAAACATCAAGAAAAATATAAAACTATTAGGCTAACTATAGGCCATTTTATGTATATAATCTATGATACAACCTTAATACTTTCTATAGAAACAAATGCGTAACTCCATTATTTCAAATAATCATCCGATGTGAGAGCTTACCATCAGATAAGTTAGTTGCCAGAGTAATTGGTATTAGCTAGGATATGCCACAATTGAAGTTAAATTGAAATAATAAGAGAAATCTATGCTCATTTTCTAAAATAAAAACAATGAAAAAAAATAAAAAATTATCTAGAAAAAAAGATCTATATTTAGCAATTATACATGGCGAAAATATATGTAAATTTGATACCTTGAGCAGAGTCCATCTAGGATAACATTAATACTCGAGGAAGAGTGGGTGCTTGTCTACCTTCTATTGCAAGTTCCTTCACCACAATTAACAATTTTGCTTGTGATAGCTTCATTGACGACAAAAAATAAGTTATACCAATGCAATTTCAAATAAATTAATGACATAAAATATGAAACTAAATACCAAAGAATTAGGAATAAACTAAAATAAGTTATAGTTATAAGTCTATACACACTATCCTGTGAATGACTTTCAAAAACAATCGCACATGGGCTGTCTTTATATGGATCCTTATGTTAATAGAGGGAACCCTTTGCATGTTTCTTCAATGTATCCAAGGATAGAAAGAGATCCTATCATTGGCTTCCTTTCGTGCATCAGACATGACTTCTTAATATATAAGATTATATTCAAGAAACATTAGTTGCACTCTTTGTTTGAAATATGTTTTTTGGCATGGTAATACAGAACTCCTTTTAGCTTGCAGTATCTTCTAAACTACATTCTAATATAAATTATCCTCACATCATTATAGTTTTACCTTTTGCAGAATGTATAACCGAAACCTTTGTGTACATGTTGTGGAAAGGAAATACAAATTATAATACTGTATATGTAGATGTAGTCTCC